TTCCATAGTCAGAAACAGAGTGAAAGCTAGGAGCTGACATTTTCCAAGGGGTGCCTTGAATTTAAAAAGGTTAAGAACCACTGATATAGAGCAAAGATATGGAGCCATGTTTCTCCTGAGCTGACTAGATCCTTTCTTTTTAGCACACAGCAACATGAATTACAATATTGTTTTTCTGTTTATATGAAATTCAGAATGCATGCATCATTAATATTACAAAATGTAAAGCACTATAATGAAAAGCTGAATTTCTTATAGTAACTTTGTTATCATCATTATAGATAAAGATAATGACAAATATTTTGAAGATTTTTTTTCCCATGGAAATACAAAACAATTTCAGGGTGACAATATCATAAGAGAAATTCAAGGTGCCTTACAACAAAATCAAAACGAAAATCAATATGGCTTAACCATAAGCTAAATTGAAATAGAAACCTTTGCCCTTTCCCTTAAACTCTCTTAGAGAAGGCCCTTCATTGAAAGTGCTACATTATAGCAAGACCATAGTGTGAAAAAGGACCAGTCATAGGCAGAGCAAGCTTTGGTTGCTAGAAGAGGGATCCAACCAGAAAAATGTGAAGACTTAAACAGAATAAACGAGTTAATGCCAGACAGGATTTTATATAGTACTCGAAAGACCACATGTTAAGATTAATGTGCTGACATGAAAGGATCCAAAGTGACCCCAGAACAAGAGTAATATCATTAGAAAATTCAACTTCTGCACAAAGCCTTACTGCTGTATAATAGAAACACTGGAGACTATCTGTGTAGCAAAAACAGGAAGGAGAGCAGAAAGAATTCCACTAATCAAATCAACATGTAATAAAATAATGAAAGAGAGTCTCTATGTCAACACAGAATGTGAATGAGTTATCCTTGGTGTATTTTTTCAAATGGAGACAGCAAAGTTTAAGAAAGTATTTGTAGGCTCAGATAAAAAAAATGGAATTCAAAATAACTCCCAAGTTCTTAAGAGTCTCGTACAGACATTCAGGTTCTCCTGGGAAAGTCACCGCTCCCTGAGAAGAAAATCGTGAGTATACAGAGGTTCTGGATTTTTCTCCCAAAATAAAAAATTTGCTCCGGGACATAAGAAACCTGGGAACAACCAGGGTTAAATCCTGCAAGAGTGTATGTCTGTACAAGCTGGGTGACTTCCCTCACAAAGGAACAAAGTCCTCCAGCATCAATTTCCTTCCCCCCTGCCATTCCCAGCACAGGAAAAAGTGTGTCACATTCTGGAGTCTGCTGCTCCAGCAGGGAGTAGACCATGCCTCCTTCACAATCCACATTTTGCTGCAGGGAAATGTACATTGACTGTGGGAAGACTAGGTCAGCCAAATAAGGGCTGCCTTATGCACTGCTACTATCTGTTGCCAGGCAGACCAAGGGAACCTGCAGAACAAGCTCAGTTGTGTGCACAGGACCTCAGGCCCCACTCCTTCCCCTCCCACCACCCCAACCCCAGCTGCACAGTGTGAGCACTGCAAGCTTTCCACTCTTCACAACTTCAATATTCAAATGTCTGTACATACAGATCTGGGTAAGCTTTTCTACCAGGAGAACAAAAATGGGAGAATTCTTGAATTAATTGAAGTCAGACAAATTTACAAGAAATACCTATGTACCATGCCTTCTTAATGCACCGGACTATGAGTTAATATATCTGGAATCTGTTCCTAGCACTGTTACCAACTTACTCAATGACTTTGGCAAAGTATCTTAATTGATCAGTTTGTGTTTCAGTTTCTTTATTGGAGAAAAGTTGATAATAACTAGGGCTTCTCAGAAAATAGTTTTGCTTTATGAGAACCCTGAGGTTCAAGATGTAATGGTGACCTTTTTGTATTTTTTATGACCAATGGGGCAGACAGAGACTGATCATAACAGCCAGTTGCCCAGTGGCTAGATCATTCACTTTGTACATGGGCTATCTAGGTTCTATTACTGCCCTACATGATTTGGAGTAAAAAATGTAAATGGGGTCTTCCAGATTGGCAGATAACTTTTGTTGTTTCTCAAGTCCCCTTAACCAACAGAGTGCTCTAACAATGAGTCAGCCTTTCTCTTGTTTACTCACTCCAGTTGGAGTTCTCCTACTTTGCATAAACATTTGTTTCTTAGCCTAGAAACAGAATAAAATAGTGTTTAGACATTAATGTGAGTTCGTTATTTGTAATGAAAAAAAATGTAAATGAAAGTTGGTGATGCAATTTAGGGTTAATCTCTTTACTGTTTAAGCTTAGGGTTAGTGCTCATGGGAAGACAACTTAAGATGCTATTATCTATGGTACTAATATAACTTAAACCTAAATGGCCCAGCTTGAAAAAATTTAAGAAATGAGGCGCTGAACTAAAACTTCAGCAACAAAAAAACAAATGAACTGCAATACTAGAAATGGAGCACAATTACTACCAAAACTGCTGCCAGAAGACAAAGACTGGCTCCAAAGCTCCCATATATTTGGATTTGTTCAAAATATGGAAAACTCTCCTCGATTCCACTTAGCAGAGACTGCAAAAGGCCTTCTTCAAAAGGTTAATCTTAAATATTTTCCACTGTATCACAAAAGAGGATCAGACGCTGGCATGTGCAGTGTGAACATAGATTTATGCTGTGAACATTAAAATTAATCTGATCCTCAAGAAAGTCTCAGTGGGCATGTCTATCTCAGATGCATTACTGCAAAGTAGCATAGTTTACTGTTCAGTAAATGTGTGTCTACATGTGCACATGCTTACTGTGCAGTAAACCTTGCTAATCATAAGTAAATTTGCTACCTGCAAATGCAAGCAGCAAATTTACTCACCAGTAGTTACTGCATAGTAGTACTCATGTAGACACCTTGGGGTGAGAGATTACTCCCTGCTGGCCACCAAGGGGCAGCAGATTGCTCCCTGCCCCTGGGAGCTGCCTGCTGCTGGAGCAGGTTCTACCACCAGAGCCAAGTGAGGACTATGTCCCCTGGCCCCAGCAGCAGGGAGCTTCAAGCCCCTTGCACTCCAAGATCATGATCAAGGAGTGGGGGGCTGGGAGATCCTTATCTTCCATTGACAGCTCTGTGACCACGGGGCCAGTGCTGAGAGATAAGGATTTCCCAGCACCAGCCCCATGGTCACAGAGCTGGCACTGGGAGTTCCCTGGTGACAGGACGCTGCAGATTCTGGTCCCCACCCAGCTCCGTGATTGTGCAGCAGAGTGAGGAACAGGCTGGGGACCCTCTGCCCAGCTGGGGGCTTGCTGCTAGTTGCCCCACCAGCAGATCAGGGCAGGGGGCTAGGACCTACCCCTCCCCTGCAGCTCTTTCCAAGTCCTCTGCCCCAATCAGGAAACTGGGGCTGGGAGCTCCCTGCTGCTGGGGCAGGGGACATTGTCCTCCCAAGCAGACAGCCCTCTGGTGGCAGAGAGCAATGTCTTGGCTCTGGCCAGCAGACAGCTGTCTCCTGGCCTACTTCTCCCTGCCAGCCCCTGGTCCAGCACCTAGAGGAAACCTTGAGCTTTGGTGGTGACAGGAGCCCATTGCAGGGCCACAGGAAGTGAGAGAAGTATGCTGCTAAGACCAGCAAATCTGCTCCCATGTCCCTGCATAGCTGCCTGCCCAGGAGCATTTACTTGCAAGTAAACTGATCTCAGATCACCTGTATGTGTACATGTGCCCATTAAAAAAGGGAAGCTTTACAGAAGTTAGAGTATGGTCAGGAATCCTGAGCAGACTTTTGCACAGACTTGACCTTTGATGCATCTGCTACCTGCAGAGTCAAACTACCCTGCTAGCTCCCAGACCCTGGTTTTATGTGCCCCAGAGCTCCACCCCTTCCTGTTATCTGGCTCTCCAGCCCACACAGGGGTTTCCATTCTACTTGATAATCAGCTTAGCTCAGCTGCCTCTATTTGTCTAACACGCTTTAGCTTGTTATTGCCCTACACCCTCCTAGGGTCTGTTTTCTTTTGGGGGCTGGCTGCTATTATTGCTAGACCTTCCTGGCTACAAAAGTCCTGTTTCCGATTAGATTGCAGCTAACAGGGTTGCTATTTCCTGTTACAAAGACATTTTCTAACTTAGTAAAACATAGTGTGATCCAAAAATCTTCATATCCAATTTTGTAAAATAGACAACAGAAGGAAAGCTACTGGATGAAATCAGCAGGATAAATCAATTATAACTCAGATCAGTGGAAATTAGATTTAATTCCTTCTCATGGTAAACATAGAAAGAATCAATATAATTTGAATAGTATTTTATAATGGCTGAGAATCTTGCAATAGGGTAATGACATTAGATTTTTTAAAAGCTGAGCTTTTAACAGAACTGTTAAAATTAGATCCTGAAACTAAACCAGAGATAAAAAGATAAACTTTCAAAATTAACTTCTGTTAAATGAGAGAGAGAAGGGATTAGGCAGGACCCCCTGAATATCTATGTAAAGCTAAAAATCGAAAAAGTTTGACGTAAAGAAATTGGGGTGAAAATGTTTGTAATAGGAAATCTTTGCAGAAGCCGGTTATTCAGTGGGAGAGGATCCCACTAATAGGTTTCAGGTAAAATTAGCAAAATATTAAGAGTTTATTTTTAGCACAGACTGGCTTCCTGCAAAAAGGAGGCAGGCAAGAGACAATAGAACAGTTCTTACAGCCAGACCAACTAGGGCAGATGAACCTCCTCAAAGAATAAAATAATATACTGCTATGTCCAGCCTCAGTTAGTAGTTTGCTAATTTCCATAGGGCTTTTGTGCTTGAAAGTAATACCACTGATTAAATAGAGTAAAAGAAGAAGGAGTACTTTATTGAATAAAGGTAAATATTAGATCTGGTCAATTTCTTTGTTGTGGATTATGTTACAAATGTAGCCTTTTTTTCTCAATGAAAATCTTTTGTACATTAATCTAAATGTTTGAGAATGTACTGATTATTTGTAGGTGCTCACCAAATAGCTTGTCCCAACAAAATAATTGTTGTTAGTGGTGTATGATTGGTTTCCTACATCTAATATTGCATCCACTCTCAAGTTGGAATCTGAAAGTTTTAAACAAATGAATGACAGACAAGTAAAAGGTAAGATTTTAGCATAACTTTTTTGGATAATGGTTATTACTGATGTATTCATACCTATTAATTTTTCAGGATTTATAAACATCTTTACAGCTACTAAACAGTTGTCTAAATATGAATGCATGATAAATATTATAGCCCCACAATATAACTGGATTTCAGCAATCTCACTGTTTTCATTAATGAGAATATTCTTGGCAAGGTATATGGGGACTGGCATTTGAAGATGAGTTAAAGAGTTATAGTTTAACTCATGGTTGCAATTGAGACAATGAAAGGAACATGATGGGTTTGACTTCTAATATCCTTCAACTAAAACAACTTTGATATTTAAGTCTATACATAATTTTCACAATACATATCAAATAACAGTACTGTTGTGGTGATGTTGCTGTGATAATCCAGGAAAGATGCTAGAGGCAATAATTCTTGTGGGTGATCTTTTTTGGACCAACTGCATGGTTGGGATAGACATAGGAAAGCCTTTGGGTATCACAGTACCCTTCCTCAGTGAATGAGGTATAATTTATTTGTCACAGAACTAGCATTTAATGAAGTGATTGCTCAACTGGTAAATCAATCAGAAGCTTTATCTTCAAGTTCACTTGAAAACATAATGGAAATAAAGGGATGGAAACACCAGTGAAAAGTGAAGGCTGTGGCAATATTTTAAAAGGGTGTATCACGGGGTTTTTTAATTGATATTGATCCTGAAAATGCTGATACAGAACATAATCAGTAAAGAATTATAAGATGATAATATAATTATACTTATACAACTGTTTTGTATGGAAGGAAAATTACATTCAACAAACAATATCGTTTTTTATTCTAATTTCAAGTTAGTGATAAATTTACTTACTATATGGCCAGTATATTTTTAGTTGAACTAGCTTTAGAAGATGCATGGTCTTTTTTTTAAATCTGATATTTAAAACTGTTCCAAAGAAGATCGAATCTTGCATTTTTACTTTTTCATTTTTAAATGCATTATTTTATTATTTTATTTAATATAATTTATAAAACTATACTGTAGATGGCAAAGCAAAAAGTCCTTTTAAATATAAAATGGAAAGGGTCCACTCTGAAATACTTCAACCTTATCAAATGGTGTAGTTAGATTTTTGGTGGAAAAAAATTCATTAAAATTTCATAGTTTCATAGATTTAGGGTCGGAAGGGACCTAG